TTTTTTTTTTTTTTATCAAGAAAGGATGCTATATTTTGTTAAATGCTTTCTCTGCATCTATTGAGATCATATGGTTCCTGTCCTTTCTTTCATTGATGTGATAAATCACATTGATTGTTTTGCGGATATTGAACCAGCCCTGCATCCCAGGTATAATCCCACTGGATCGCCGTGAATAATTTTTTTAATGTATTGCTGGATCTGGTTGGCTAAAATCTTGTTGAGGATTTTTGCATCCATGTTCATCAGGGATATTGGTCTATAGTTCTTTCTCCTTTTTAGTGGGGTCTCTGGTTTTGGAATTAAGGTAATGTTGGACTCAAGAAAGAGTTTTGAAATTTCCCTTCCATTTCTATTTTTTGGAACAGCTTCAACAGAATACGTGTTAACTCTTCCTTAAGTGTTTGGTAGATATTGGTTTTTTGTTCTCCTTTTTAGTGGCGTCTCTGGTTTTGGAATCAAGGTAATGCTGGCTTCATAGAAAGAGTTTGGAAGTTTTCTATTTTTTGGAACATTTCTATTTCTATATTTTGGAACAGCTTCCATTTCTATATTTTGGAACAGCTTCAAGAGAATAGGTGTTAACTCCTCTTTAAATGTGGGGTAGAATTCCCCTGGAAAGCCATCTGGCCCTGGACTCTTGTCTTTTTGGGATTTTTGATTATGAATTTGATTTCTTTATGGGTTATGGGTCTGTTCAAATTTTCTATTTCTTCCGGTTTCAGTTTTGATAGTGTATATGTTTCTAGGAATTTGTCCATTTCTTCCAGATTGCCCATTTTATTGGCATATAATTGCTCATAATATTCTCTTATTGTTGATTGTATTTCTGCTGTGTTGGTTGTGATCTCTCCTCTTTCATTGTTGATTTTATTTATTTGGGTCGTTTCCTTTTTTCTTTTTGATCCAACTGGCTAGTAGTTTATCAATGTTGTTAATTCTTTCCAAGAAACATCTTCTGGTTTCATTGATCTGTTCTACTGTCTTGTTTTGTTTTGTTTTGGTTCTGATAGCATTATTTTGGCTCTAATCTTTATTATTTCCTGTCTTCTGCTGGCTTTGAGTTTTATTTGCTGTTCTTTTTGCAGATCTTCAAGATGTAAGGCTAGGTTGTGTATCTGAGACCTTTCTTCCTTCTTTAGGAAGGCTTGGATTCCTATATACTTTCCTCTTATGACCGCCTTTGCTGTGTCCCAGAGGTTTTGGGTTGTAGTGTTATCATTTTCATTGGCTTCCATGCACTTGTTAATTTCCTCT